ATGTATCTACAGAACTCAATTCTATATGCTTTGATCGGTTTATCAGAAAGGAAGCCTGAGGCACACGCATGTCATAAAGAAAAAAAATATTGATTAATGCGCACCAGGAGTTAGATGAAAGGTTGAAAAAATGAGACCTTTGGCTCTAATTGTTTGCGCCACCGAAAATGTGAGAAGCTAAGGAAGAATAGACAGAATCTCCTTTAAGGATTTCGTAATCTTTCATAACTATTTCGGAAGATAATGTCAAAGTTCACCATTTGCTTTCATAGCTGAGGTATAAAACTTGGCATCGATATTATAAAAAACTCATTAACAAAGATGATTTGTTATTGTTGTTGTTCATACAGTCTCATTTGTCTGATAAAAAAAGTTCAGCATAGGCCCACGATATTCACCGTGGCAGAGAGTCATATGCGCCTGTGTTTGGCAAGAGCCTTACAACATTATGGGAAACCATATAGGTCATACCCAGACTTTAGTTCAGTTCTGCCCCCAATTTTGAGAGATAGTACTCCAGAACAGGGACGGGTCCGAGGGTCTCCCACTCCTCTTCCCCCCACCAACCTCTCGAGAGGACTATCGGCCCCCTGCATATTTAGAGTGCCCCATGCCGACACAGACGCTATGCATTTACAAATACCCACACTTTCCCCGGAACGAACAGGATTTTCAAATCCGTATTAACGCTGAGATTTCTAACGCAGACGTGACGGAGTGTGTTAAGATATAGAGACATTAGGTTATTTCGAAGCAGAAGACATGAAAAATGAGCAAAGCCCTCGCCGGGACTCGAACGTCTCGAATCCACGCCGAGTGTGCTCACCATTACAACACGAAGGCATGCTAAGAAGGCGGGGAGAAATACCTTATAAAGAAACTTGATCTAAGTACTTCCATATGGCGGAGCCCTACATTAGACTGTCAGGAATCGTGAGTAAAAATAATAAATAAACAAAAATTTAAAGAACATGTGAAAGGGTTCAGATTTGAACGGTCGCCCAAGAGGGCTGCTTTAAATTTAGTATGAGTTATCAGTAAAGGTTATCAGTAGAGATGACCTAACATTTTATAGGATACAAGATGAAGATGCATTTAGACCAAGAGGGAAAGTATATACTTTTAACCACGGGCAAGAAAGTAATTTTAGTGCATCATGCGGGCGGGGCTGTCAATAGGTGTGATGGTTCTTGTATGAGAATCATTTACAATGTCCCTGAAAGCTTATTTTATTAATCAATAACGCATAGATTAAATGTGAAAAATAAATGTAATAGTAAGACGTAGTACCGAAGTAAAAGACTGGATTGTTTAATATGAGAGAAGCATAACAGAAGATGAAAAAAATATATTTTAAACAACTTTTAATAGCATTTAAAATCGGGGAGCTTTAATTTTTATTCCAATACAAGCCGAAAGACCCGGTTACCCGGTCCTTGCGCATAGTAAAGAGACTTCATTTAGGGGGTTAGAGGTACTTTTTTAGAAATCCCGTTTTCGAAGTATTCGTGAAAGGATGTTGCTTCATTTAAATTCTATTGTAAAGGTTCGACTTTTCTGGAAAGTTTTACATTTTTCCAAAGAGATAATTAACACGGCGCTATCTAACGGTTAACGGTTTTAGTATGAACTGATACTTGCTTTGCTTTCGGTTTTGTCTTTTTTTCGGAAAATCACCATCCACTTTGGCCGATTTCTTCACAGTTTTCGAAATATTGCGAAAATACTAATAGAGAGATCACTAAATTTTATTTTAAAGGTTCTACACTTTTCTAAGAGTAAACAAACAAAGAGGCATTTAACGATTTTAATAAGAACTGATAGCGCCACAACGGCGACTTAAACCTAAGATGGGTAACAATGATTTCAAAATTGGAACTGTGTGTTAATATTAATATTTATTTTTTGAAAGAAAATAATTGGGAATTGGTTGTTGCTTGGAAAGAATGAACTGATTTCATTCATACTGAAATGTTTTTATATATTTCCTTTTCAAGGGGACAAAGAACTTAGGCCTTGTTCGCTATTGTAACATGAAAACCTGAAAAGACAACGCTTTGCCAGAAAAAGAAGATTACAGGGGCAAGTCTATTTATCATTGAGCAAATGTCTATATCGCTAAATTGGGCAGCTATCGCCAAGCTGGTGATGGTTTTGGCGACTAATTTTTTTCGTCAAATTGCGTAAAATCATCAAAAATCGCCAAACTTGGCAACCATTTGGCGACATGTTAGTCCAATCCCTGTATAATTATAATTGGTATTGTAGTTGAATAAATATAATTTATCCCTATATGTAATTGTAACCGTATCCGAACCTTATATGTCTTCTAGTAATTTCTAGAAGTAGAAGATACTAGAGATTTCTCGGCGTATGCGTAGCAACAGTTTCTCAGTTTTTGGTTGCTGACTTTGGGTTATTGAAAGTATTGCGAGCTGCGCTTTGCGCTGCGTTTAAATTCCTTCGTAGTAGTTTGAAGTATAACTACTCTGTGATACTGAGAAGAACTGTATGAGTATTTTTGTGGAAAGTTCCAGAACTGTTAATTGTTTCTTTAGCTAAAATAAATTTTATCAAGCTTCCATCGGTTCCACGTGCAGTCAACTCTATTACGAACCCGTACTCCCGCAACAACACAATTTTTCTGTGTATTCTTTTCATTTCACAAATTCTATAATCTATTAATAATTCGATGTGAATAGCATAAAAAGTTTTTAAAAGGTCTCAAACAATTGTTAATTTGCAGATAGAAATCTATGTCACAGTTCATAATTCATGTTTTTTAGATATTGATGTTCTTGATCTAATTTTTAATGAAAGAGTAAACATTTCATACAGTGTTGATTTAAAGGAAGATAAATTTCAAGATCTGAATTTGGGTGGAGGAGATGAATAGAGCCACTGAAAACACTAAAAAGAGAGAAAAAAAAGCATTTGTTTTAAGAAAAATAACTGAGTAATGAAAAAGAATAATTCGTGATATTTGTTAACATATACGTAAAGCATTGGTGTATCTATGCATTAAAATGTTAACAGAACATTTTAAAAGTTTTAACATTTCATTCATTTTGTTTGGTAAACAAATACAATTATAGAATTTAAGTTTTTAATTTACCAGGTTTTATGATGTTCTTGAACTCTCAGCTGCTAGAATAAAATATGTGGAGTATTTCGCTCGCCGTATGATGCAAATGTATTCTAGGTGTGTCGGCAGGGATGGAAAAGGTGTGTTGAAAGGCAAGGCAAACAGTAATTTTATAAATCAAATCTTTATTGAAGAGGAAATTTGATATAATGCGCATGATGTTGTAAGGCTGGGAATAACTGAAATATTGCATTGAAGGGGAATCTTCCATTTACGTGTAGAGTAAATCAAGATATAATGCATAATTTAGCACATTCAAAGTCCATAATAATCTAACTTATAGAATAATAAGAGTAAGGGCGGAGAAATGTTTTGGTAGAATAAAACGGAATCACTTTTATTGAGGTTAAGTTCAATGCCCCAGCTCGTGAGCTTATTTCAGGGTGGAGATACAATGATGGATATTAGTATGAAGAAAAGATGCAGTAGTATATAAGAAGATTATTTTTCGTAAGTATGCAGAACAACAGCAATGTGCTATCACTATAAAAGGGTAGAAGAAAAAATAATACGTTTGGAAGGATTTTGTGATACGTATCTTTATTTCTTGGAGGTGAAAAGGAATGTTTAGAGACCCCCTCCCCCAAAAAAAAATGCTTCTTTGTCCCAGTTAAATAAATAAAAATAAATGGAAATAAATGGAAATCCATTTAGAAATGAATTATAAATAAAAATTTTGCAGTTTAAACATATTTACTGCTAAAGATGATATGGTGTGTCCGTCCACAGACGCCAAGACCCTATCTGCACTTTTGCACTATAAGGTATTTCTTCCGTCTTCCTGGCGTACCTCCGTGGAGTAGTGGTTCGACACACTGGGCCGATATTCCAGAGATCCGTGGTTCGATTACAGGCAAAGGCGATTGCTCATTTTTCATCTTGCCTGTTTCTAAAAAAATACCTAATGTCTCTACAGCACTTTCAAAATATTTTCTGCTATTTAATTATTTTATATTTGTATTAATTATTTTCTACTATTTTATTATTTCAAGATATATCAAACAAATCTCTTTTAGCAGTAAATATATTCACAACACACTCATAGTTTAGCGTAGTCAAATTTCAACATAAAATAATTAAAATACATTTTATTTGTTATGATCTTCAAAATATGGTGTAAATAGATACGTCTTTGATTTCTAAACATTTAGTTACTGCACCTACAGTCTGAGAAATATATGGTATCCTTCAGCATGCCTAGTGTATTATTTAGCCCCTTTCTGTGTGCCAAACACCTAAATTTTGCATGCATTTGATACAGAAATACTCGTACTCGGTGATTTAGGTAAGGCGATCGACTACGAGTATCCTTCTAGTACCTGGCAAGTAAACTCAATTTGCCAACTAACGAGTATTCTCGCAGTCGGAATTGAAAATTTCGGCATGGGTTTCGTGGGTAATTTACAAAGCTTATGTTTGTTAGTAAGACGAAAACAATCACTACAGTATGAATTCATTTTAAAATTTAGCGAAGTTTGTTCTTTGAACTCTGCGATATGGGAATATACGGGAGGAAATACGGTAGTACGAAATCATTGCGACATTGCTGAAGGATTTACAAACGCAGTCCAATTTAAAAAATTTCATATTTTTTCTTTAATAGCAGAAATGATTTTACTTTTACTCTATGAATGCATACATAATGAACAAGCTGTTAATTCCTATAGATTCAATTACATTTAATTTGCAGCTCTTGTATTGTCATAAAATCTTAAATAAACTAGTCTTCAACAGAAAAATAATTTTTCATATATGATCTGTATTTTCACCTAGTAAAAATACCACTAATTTCAAAAAGCATTTTGTAGGTAACAGTAATTGCAAACGATATTTATATTTTCATTTATTCTTTCAGCTTCTCTTGAAAAGATCATGCCGACGTAATTTCCTTCTTCAAAAAAAGGACACAGAAGTCTGAATGGAAAATATTTCTTCACTTATGAAACAGTCAATCTACATTATCATATTAAAACATTCAAAAAGAAATTTTTGATACTTTAAAATTCTTTTAAATCACATCCAGGAAGAAAAGAAGCTGTTGTATTATACTTGGTGTAAAATCTTTTATTTATCTTCTATTTATAGCAGTACATTTCTCATGTAATTTTAACAAAAATGGGCTGTCAAAGAAAAAGGTAATATTTTTATATGCTTCTGCACATAGAACGAAGAGTGTTGCTTTTACATTATATAAAAATCCCTGTCCTGTCAAAAGTGACGAGTTATAAGAGAAGAAATAACGTATAAGTAACTCTTGATAAGTAACTCTTGATAAGTAACTCTTGATAAGTACTGCCACTGTGCGAAACATAAGAACTTTAATTTATCTTCTACGCTTCCTAAGACATAATATTCTCAGAAAGCTGTCATTCAACAAAACATAAGATCTTTAATTTACCTACCATATTTAATCAGTATGTTCTTGATTAATAAACTGGTCGATTTAAAATCAGCAAACGTTCTTCTTATTAGTTGATTTCTCTGTTTTACGTTTTTTAATAATTTATCAAATTGTTACAAATTAAAATACATTTAATTTACAATAGTTCCAATGGACAATTGTTATAAACGTTTTTAGCTTATATTGTGTGCATATATATATATTTCTAACTCCGTATATTAAGCGCCTGGTACAGAGTATAATTTGGTTTTCAATTTTTAGAATATTTTATAATTCTGAAATATTATTACTAACAAATTTGACTAATATTTCTAAGCCCCAAATCGACGATATTTTTTGAGCTCTGCAACACAGCGGCTTTAGAAAGTGAATTTGAATTAGAAAATTAGTTTTAAAATCGATGCGTGGCAAAATAATAATAATAATAATAATAATAATAAAAGTCAAATGAGTAAAGCTTTAGGCCAACGCATCAGCGAAGGGCCACAGTTTGGCAACAAGAGACAATTCGAAAAAAGAGGAAAAGATTCATCTGTGAGTAGCTGTCCCCAAGAGAAGGGCAAAAGAAAAGCAGGAGGACAATTTAAACTAGGAAGGGGTACTGAAGACAAAATGGAACAGTTACTCTGGAATCAAGAAATCCTTCAAAATTTCAATTAAATACCATGATAGTGAAAATTTTGGAGTTGCCGGTTGTGAAGGCGTTACTAAATAATGTTGTAAGATTCTCACTAGTGTATTTCTCAGTTACTGTAGAAAGTAACGAATCTTAAGAACTAGTTAGCGAATAATCGTGTAACAAGAAACAACAAGATGGAAGGGTAACTAACCCTTTATTATTCCAATAAGATTTAACAAAACTCCGTCTTGGAGTGTACAATCAAAGCCGACACTTGGGCTTGAACTTAAGAGACTAAGAAATAAACTAAAACTAAGATTAACTAAAGAAATATAGCCGAAGCTATCAAGATTCTAATCGAGTTAACCCCTTAACTATTTGACTACGAAGCTTATCAAGGGCCTGAGTACGGCCGAGCGAACAGCTTTGAGTAAGCTTTAGTGCCGAGCGTAATAACAGCTTTGAGAGAGAGAGAGTAGCCAAAAGGCAGACGCGCACAAATCAGAAACTCTGATTCTCTCTAACTCTGCAAATAGACTTCGTGGTTTAAATACCGCTCCTCCTCATTAAGTATTCAGAGTGATTCCAAAACTATGTTCTGGCCGGAAGTAGTAAGTTGAAGTTAAGAATTTGACAGAAAAGGAACTTTAACTTAAAATTTAACTGTTAATAAAATTAACATAATCCTTACATAGCTTCCGACCAGACTTAAAATACTCGAAAAATAAGGTCTGAAAACGACCTTGTTTAAGACTTTAAAGTCTGAAAAACTTTTTACGTTAACAAAACACTCTAACTTTACTCTAACTACACACTCTAACTTTTGAATTAACTAAATTCACTTTAAATTTCTGTTTTTAGGGCCAACTTTACAACAATTTTAAAAGCTAGACTAAAGCTATGAAAATTTTTATAAAATTTTACAAAAAAATCCTCTGTTCTGGACATATATAATCTTCTTTGAATGGAAACTTTATTCAGCTACTATTAAGTCAGGTTTTGATCCTTCCATATCTGGAAGGAAATATCATTAGTAAGAAATTTTACAAAGCTTTTCTATAAATCCTAAAATTACGCTTTTATTTCCTCATTTGGCCTTCATGCACTTTCATTCACACTACAATTTTATTTCATTTCTTTAAATTGGTAGAAATAGCTCCTTTAAGAAGAGCCTCGGCTAAAATAGCTGCAGATCCTTTCTTAAATAAATCTATTTTAAAATACGGAGCTTCATTAAAATTAATTTTCGATAACGGAAAACAGTTTGTTAGCCAAATATTTGAATAGTAATGCATAAGACTCGGCATACGCCACCTAAAAATGGTGCTCTATCGGCCGCAGTCAAACATGGCGAAGCAGGTTAATAGGAGCATAGTTAAAATTATACGTTGTTATGTGAGAAACTATTATAAGCATGGGATAGCGGAGTCGATGAGTTAGCTTCTGCATTAACAACAGCTAGGCACGATACAAGGGCAAAAACTCCAGCAGAACTATTCTTAGGCCGACAGCTATTTACACCACTGGATAAATTATTCTTTGTGAAAAAACAGAGTCCCAGAATTTAAGATGACTGATATACGAAAGAAAATAAATGAAGCAGTCAAAAATTCGGATAGCAAGGGAAAAACAGAAACTATATTACGACAGGAAAAGACGGGAAGGGAATTAAAAGATTAGATAACAAAATTTAAAGGTCAAGCACCTCTTTATTATCTACGGGGGAAGAGAGAGTAGTTAAACTTTGTCAACGATTTCAAGGCCCATACCTAATTGAACGAATTAGAGAACCAGTACTTTATTTAAAAGATACAAATGGGGAATCAGACAGTGGAAAATGTCGATCAAATTAAATCCTATTATGAGCGGAATAAAGTGCAAAGTTTTAAGCGTATTTTTCAGTACTGTCAACAACAACAACAACAACAAAAAAGCAAAATCAACGAGGAACAGTGGCACAGAACATGGGAATTTGAAAGTAACGTTGCCGAACAGAAAGACAGAGTAAACCACAAATATAGAGGACCAACCAAAGAAATTAAGGACGCAACCAGAATCGACAGGGAACGACAGGCCATGAAAGAAGCCAGGACGAAAGAAATCCACTGAAGATACGTGCCACCAAAGGATGATCAACATATGCAAAGAGTTCGAGGAAAATCCAGACCTCTAGAACCCAAGTATAGAGAAGAACTGACGTCAAGAGTACTACGAAAATAGCAGCCAGCTGAACAATTTTCGACGAACGCAAATTCGACTAAGGAAATTTCATCGTTTCGGGTTACCTGAAGTGCTGATGGAAAGCACAGCGAGCAATTCAAGACTGAAGAAGCGAGCAGCGGAGACGGAAAGTCCTCACTGTCGATGGAGGGTGATAAGTACGCTGAGGAACCAGAAAGTCCTAGCGGGAGAAAAGACTCAGCTCTGTCAAAGGTTCTGGGTTCGCCGAGCTGAAATATATCCGCCGTAGAAGGACTTCGTGGAGAAGAGAATGTTGGAATACAAACAAAAAGATAAGTGGATATTTAATCTCTCCTTACTAAGATTCCAGTTTATTTATAACAGGTGGCAAATATGGATCTAATTAAGTCTTATGATCGCACCAAAATGCAAATTTTTTAGGATAAAGAAAGAAAACGAGAAATCAACGAGGAACAGCGGCACAGGACATGTGATTTTGAAAGTAAAGTTGCCGAGCAGAAAGACCACTAGAAGGAATTCACTAGAAGATGCCAACCACCAAAGGATAATCAACATATGCAAAGAGTTCGAGTAAAATCACCAAAGCCAGAACCCAAGTACAGAGAAAAACCCGACGCCGAGGGTGTTACGGAAGCAGGAGCCAGCTGAAAAATTTTCAACAAACGCAAATTCGACAACGGAAATTTCATTGTTTCGGGTTACCTGAAGTGCTGATGGAAATCCCAACTGGGAATTCAGGACTGAAGAAGCGAACAGCGGAAACGGAAAGTCGTCAACGCCGAGGGAGAGTGACAAGAGTACGCGACGGGCTGAGGAAGCGAAAAGCCCCGGCAGGAGAAGAGACTCAGCCCTGTCAAAGTTCTGGGCTCGCCAAGCTGAAATATATCCAAGATAGAAGGACTTCGTGGCGAAGAGAATGGGAGAATACAAACAAAAAGATAAGCGGATATTTAATTTCTCCTTACTAAGATTCAGCTTTATTTTATACCTAGAAGTAATAAGTTGCTAGACGTTTTGAATTTTTCCTCAAGTGAGATTATTTCTGTGGTTTGATGACCGAGAAGCTCGGAATTTAAATTGCGATGATTTATATTCAATGAAGTTTAGTTAACAAGCATAAATTCTATTTTAGTTCAAGAGACTGATATGAGGAAATGTGAAGGAAAATATTAAGAACTTCTAAGCAATTTGTGTGCATTGTTTGTGAACACCAAACTGAATTTTCTAACTTAATGTCTAACTTAAGTCTTAATTTATTTTAATATTAGTGTCACATTAACATTAAATGAAATATAGTCAATATTTCATTTAATGTAGTATGTTTTAATGTAGAAAGTCCTCACTGTCGACGGAGGGTGACGAGTACGCGACGGTCTGAGGAACCAGAAAGTCCTCGCGGGAGAAGAGACTCAGCCCTGTCAAAGGTTCTGGGTTCGCCGAGCTGAAATAGATCCACTGTAGAAGGACTTCGTGGGGAAGAGAATGGTGGAATATAAACAAAAAGATACTTTTCCTTCTAAATGTTAAAAGTACTCTTAGATATATATCTATTAAAATAAATTAAGACTTGCACAGTAATAACAATTAAACTTGTATTTGTATGAATGGGATATTTATGTGCAAGCTAGCAGAATTTTAGATATTATGTGCAAGCTAGTAGAATTTTAGTTATTATGTGCGAGCTAGTAGAAATTTAAATTAAAAGTAAAAAGCTAGCTGTGTGCACGAGTTTAAAGTTAGGCTCTCCAGCCAACACTCAAGTTTAAAGCATGCTCTTCTTAGCACATTAGGTGCAGTGTTAAAGTAAGGTGTTTTTGAGATCTGAGTGAGTGAATTTTTAACATGTAGATTGTGGGTTAGGTGGCAGAGTTGTGCTACTTTTACGAAAGATACTCTCTCGATCTTTACAGTACATTTTTATTGAACAGCAGTGGAGAAACAGATTTTATTGATTGAATACATGTGTTGACTGAAAGTGCAGATAAATTTAAATGAAATATTTATATAAGGAAGAGATAATGTAAATTGAAACAATGTATCGTATTTTGAATGTTTCTGCTAAAGGTTTTTTTCTTTTCAAATATCTGGAAGGAGCTCAGCTGCTGAAATATTTATTATCACTGGAAGGGGATCCAGCTCTTTGTTATGTAAAATTTTAAATTAATTACATTATATTAAATAAATCTACTTAAAATCTCATGTTATTGTAAGAAATTGGCTCTGA